TGTGAAGATCGATGATGAAGATCAAACAATATTGTTGCTGTGTGCTTTGCCCAGAACACATGCTCACTTCAAAGAAACTCTCTTGTATGGAAGGGAGTCCCTGACCTTTGAAGAAGTTCAATCAGCCTTGTATTCTAAGGACTTGAACGAACGAAAGGAGCATAAACCTTCGACGGTGGGCGAAGGTTTGTCCGTTAAGGGAAAATTCTTGCGAAAGGATGGTAAGTTCGACAAGAAAAAAGGTAAAAGTCAACAGAAGTCTTATAGTGGCGAAACATCTAGTATTCGATGTTACCACTGTAAGAAGGAGGGTCACATAAGAAAGTTGTGCCCTGAACGCCTGAAATATCATGGAGGTAATGGCAATGCAGCCATTGTTCAAGATGACTTCGACTCATCTGATGTTCTTGTGGTTTCAAGTGGCGACTCGAGGAAAGAGTGGATTATGGATTCAGGTTGCACTTGGCACATGACTCCAAACAGAGAATTGTTCGAGGAGCTATGTGATCAAGATGGTGGATTTGTGCTGTTAGGAAACAACAAATCTTGCAAAATTGCAGGTATTGGATCTGTGAGATTCAAGCTCCATGATGAGTCAATAAGGTTATTGACTGAAGTCAGGTACGTACCTGACTTGAAGAGAAATTTGATTTCTCTTGGTGAATTCGACGGAAAAGGATATGTTTTTCAAGGAGAGAAAAGTATCCTAAGAGTCATGAAGGGGTCGAAGGAAGTCTTGAGAGGCGTGAAGAAACAAGGCTTGTATACCCTTGAGGCTGAGGTTGTAAGTGGTTCGACAAATGTTGCATCCACGAAATCTATGTCGAAGACAGAATTATGGCACATGAGATTGGGCCATGTCAGCGAAAGAGGTCTGGTCGAATTGGGGAAGCAGAACCTGCTAGGAGGTGACAAAGTCGAAAAGTTAGAATTTTGTGAATCTTGTGTATTTGGTAAATCCTGTAGGGCGAAGTTTAACAAAGGCAAGCAAAGAACACATGGATCCCTGGATTACATTCATGCTGATCTTTGGGGGCCTGCAAGGAATCCTTCACACTCAGGTGCAAGGTATTTTCTATCCATCGTTGATGACTATTCCAGAAAACTATGGGTATTCATTCAGAAGACGAAGGATGAAACTTTTGAGAATTTCAAAAGTTGGAAGATTCTAGTCGAAACTCAAACTGGCAGAAAGGTTAAGAGGTTGAGAACCGACAATGGCCTTGAATTCTGCAACGAAGCTTTCGACAGTTACTGTGTTGGGTCTGGGATTGCAAGGCATAAGACTGTAGCAGGTACTCCTCAACAAAATGGCTTAGCTGAGAGATTCAATCGAACAACCCTTGAAAGGGTTAGATGCATGTTGGTTAGTTCTGGATTGAAGAAGGTGTTTTGGGCGGAAGCTGTTTCGACAGCAGCTTACCTGATAAATAGATGTCCCTCGACTGCCTTGGGAATGAAGACACCTGAAGAAGTTTGGTCGGGACATCCACCTAGTCTCGACAGACTGAGAGTATTTGGCTGTGTGGCCTATGCTCATATTAGGCAAGACAAGGTCGAACCTAGAGCTCTGAAATGCATGTTCATGGGATACCCTGAAGGAGTCAAAGCTTATAGGCTATGGTGCCTAGAGCCAGGTCACAGGAGGTGTATCACCAGTCGAGATGTAGTTTTCAACGAAGCAGAGATGGCTTTCAAGAAAACTGATGATGCTGACGAAGAGCTGGAACAGGGAGAGATTCCTGTTGAGGTGGAGCATGTTGATGCTGAATTGCTTACCCCAAATGAAGTCGAAGAAGACACAGAAGATGTTGTCGAAGATGAGGAGACTGATAATGACTACCTGCTAGCAAGAGACAGGTCGAGGAGAGTCATCAAGCCACCTCAGAGACTTGGGTATGCAGATCTTATAGCTTATGCCTTAATCTCTGCAAGTGAGGTTCTAGACGAAGAACCTAGAGACTATAAGGAAGTTATGAGGAATCAAAAGAAGACAAATTGGTCTTTGGTGTATGCTATGGTCTGTACTAGACCCGACATAGCATATGCAGTAAGTCTTGTAAGCAGGTACATGGCGAATCCTGGAAAGGCTCACTGGCAAGCATTGAAGTGGAGTTTAAGGTACATAAATGGGTCTCTGAATAGAGTCCTAATTTATGGTGGAGCCTTGGGTGAAGATAGTAAAGCAACAATCAATGGATATGTCGACTCTGATTATGCAGGTTGTATGGATTCCAGAAAATCTATCTCTGGATATGTGTTCACTATGTTTGGGACAGCAATCAGTTGGAAAGCAACACTTCAGAAGGTCGTTGCCTTATCAACCACTGAAGCGGAGTATATTTCCCTAACTGAAACTGTGAAGGAAGCATTATGGCTTGAAGGTTTTGCAAAGGAGCTTAAACTTCAAGGTCGAGTTATCACTGTTAAATGTGATAGTCAAAGTGCAATACACCTGTCGAAGAATTCAGCCTATCATGAGCGAACCAAGCACATTGATGTGAGGCTGCATTTCATCAGAGGGGTAATCGAGCGTGGAGAAGTCCAAGTGCTGAAAGTTTCGACAGATCATAATGCTGCTGATATGATCACCAAGACATTGCCCAGTTGCAAGTTTTTCCACTGTATGCAGTTAATAAATCTGCATGAAGAAAGCTAGTTTCTTGATGTTATAGAGTTAGATCCAAGGTGGAGATTTGTGAGACATTGGATCGAACTCTAGTGTGGTCGAAGTCTGTTCGCAAGTAATGCGTGTTGTAGTCGAAGTTTGTTCTAACATGCATGAGTAAATATTGCTAAGGTTGTTAGCATGAGTAAATATTGCTAAGGTTGTTAGCATGAGTAAATATTGCTAAGGTTGTTAGCATGAGTAAATATTGCTAAGGTTGTTAGCATGTGCTATTTTATTATAAATAGGATGCTAGTTTCTCAATCTTAGAATAAGGAAAAATAGGAAGATAAAATCCTAATTTCAAGGGAGAGAGGTTATTTTGTTATTCTTGTATACTTGTAATCTTGTTCAAAGAGAAAGGAAAGAATAACAGTTTAATAACCAATCCTTGTTGTTCCTTGTTGTTTTACCTTGTTTTCTTTGTTAACCCTAACCCTTGTGTGTTTCTTGATCATTAAGAAACCGTCTATACTTTGTTTAACGGTATCCGATTCACAACATCATCCAACACATCCATGCTTGAGCTTTTAATAAGGAGTCGTATGATGAATTTACTGTGAAACAATTGCCAAGATTCAAAGGCCAAATGAAAACATCTTCAACGACAAGAGTAAGATTTATTTATGACAGAAGCAACATAAGATTCGAGAATTCAGAATTCATACCAGAATCCACAACTGCAGCCGCGAAGATGATATCATGAGGTTCCTAAATCTAAGTATCACCAGACCAAGAACCCAATTCTGCAACTGAAGTGAGTTTGTTTGCTGCCACAACGTATAAATCCGGGAACACTCGCATTAAATGTCTTTTGTCTAGCCAGAATGCAGACCAAAATGAGACCAAAGTACCATTGCCCAACCTGCATTTTAAGTTCTGAAAAAATTCGCCATTTTCCGAAGGACAAGCACAAGCCAGCAAGTCTTTCCACCAAAGAGATTCAAGGCGTGAGTTTCTGTGGACAACGTTTAGCAAAATGTTACGACGAAGATTTCCATAGCGATCCTCCAAGATCTCACGTTTGATAGTTTCATGATCATTAACGCATTTCCAAATTCATTTGGAAAGGCTTTATTGAATAGCCCAACATGTTTGATCCCTAGTCCACCAAACTCTTTCGGATTACAGACAAATTCATAGCTAATACAAAAGATTTCGTTTGATTCAACACAGCCAGCCCAAAAAAAATTCATTAAATTCAAGATTTAATCTTAATCAAGTGTGAGTTAATTTCTACTAATGATAATTAATTAAATAAGAGTGTGTTCCACATCTCTAATAATATCTTCATTGTCTTGAACATGTATCCAATGAAAATACACACTCGAAAAATTGTTTTAAAGTTGTTTTTGTATGATTTCTAATTAAATTTTGCAAAAAGGTTTAGTTGTGATCCACTAACAGTGAAAAAACATTTTAGACTGTCATCCAATAAAAATATATTATTTTATCATATCATACAAGTATTTTAAAATTTACATTGTGACTTGGCTCATCGTCATTATTAGTTGACAATGTAAAATTAATTTACATTATTAGTGCATCACTCCTTTTTTCAATAAAAAATTAAAATAAAGTTTATATCATATATTAATTAATTTTTTACACGGTCTTTTATATATATTTGTATATTAATTAATTTATAAAATTATTTAACACGGTCATGGAATTGAAATAATCAAATAACTGAGATCCGTTAAACTTGTATATAGGAACGAGTATCATGGATTGAATGGATTTACAAGCATAGAGGAAAATTATATTTTTATTTCTTTAAGAGGTTATTCTCAAAATGAATAAATTAACTGTACCTTATATTTAAATATGTCAGTTTGCATTTCAATTTTATATATATATATATATATATATATATATATATATATATATATATATATATATATATATATATATATATATATATATATATATATATATATATATATATATATATATATATATATATATATATATATATATATATATATATATATATATATATATATATATATATATATATATATATATATATATATATATATATAAAAGATATAGTTAATTTATTGCGATCTATTTTGAGAATAACCTCTCAAAGAATTAAATTATAATTTTCCTCATTATTTGTAAATCCATTCAATCCCATGATGCTCGTTCCTATATACAAGTTTAACGGATCTCAATTATATGATTGTTTCATACCCCAAGAGTTTTTCTTTTTTTCTCTCTTTCTTTCTACATAAGAGTTTTAACAAAAGCATTTAATAATTTTTTTCGACAAAAATAGCATTTAATAAGCTATTTTCTCTGATTATCATTGAGAAATTATTGAAGGATGAGGAGGGAAGTAGTGGTGGTTGTGAGCACAACTCTTGTTGTGGTAGCAGTTGGTGCATTGGTGAGGAGGTGGAAGCGAGAAAAAGAGCAACAATCGAGACAAACTAAAAACATCATTCGAAAATTTGCAAGGGAATGTGCCACACCAGTAACAAAGCTTTGGCATGTTGCAGATGATTTGGTGTCTGCCATGGAAGCCTCTCTTGCTAATTCAAATGAAACTGGTTCAACTCTTAATATGATCATTTCAAGTGTTACATCTCTTCCTAATGGGTAATTGAAATTTTACTTTAATTTGTAGTAACTATAGTTTTAAATTTGGGTTGCTATTATGGTGTTACGATTGTGGTCATTGTAATTGTGGTGACTTGCGACACAAGTTATCTAAAGTGGCACCACTCAGCCATCATACTATTTATATATGTCATATTATAGTTTTAGTGCTTGATGAGAGATTGATATATATAAAACATTTCAAGATTGAGATTTGGAGTAATAAGCAACGTTCAAACAAATCTTATCTGTCATGCTTTGAATTCGATTGGCCTAGTTAATTGATTATAGATAATCTTGTGTAATGACACTTGTAGAGAAGAGGAAGGGGTATTTTATGGAGTGAATTTGCAAGGTACGAAATTTTTGATATTGCGCGCACGCCTTGGAGGAAAGAACATGCCTATCTCTGGTTTACATAGAGAAGAGATTTCTGTCCCCAGTGCTGTCTTGGCTGCTACGCCACAGGTATTCTTATATTCATTTACTTTTTCTAAAAATATTAATCCATGCGTTTCAAAATGACTGTCGTTTAAAGCTATTACTAGTATTGTTTATTTTTAAGAGAGATTTTTTCAATGGAAAGTTCTTTTTTTTGTCAGGAGATAATTGATTTTGTTGCCACAGAAATAGCAAAGTTTGTTTCAGCTCATCCTTGTAATGAGGCAGGTACAGCTGCCAAGAAGAAGAAATTGGGCTTCACTCTGTCGCATCCAGTTCACAAGGCTATGCCTTTCACCAACAACCCAGTTGAGTTAGTGGCTTGCTCTTTTTTGTCTTTTATTTTAATGCACATACATAAATTACATAATTTCCACATACAACTAAGTTAGTAGCTTGAACGACTTCAGATTACAGATGCACAAATTCGAATATACGATATTCCACTTATTCACGGTTAAAAAGTGAAATTCTGATCACTATGCGTACTTGACCAAAAGAAATCATGCATGTTATAGAGTAATTAATTCATGCATGTTATGAAACCAGGTTGGCAAAGAATTGGTAAAGGACATCAATCAAGCATTGAAGAATCATGGAATGGAAATGCAAGTTTTTGCACTGGTTAGAGGCTTTCTCGATCAACCAATTGCTTTTATGATTTTTCCATGCCTCAAAAAATAGCGAATTTAATACAATACTAAATAGGTTGATGTCGCGATTGGAGGTTTGGCCGGAGGAAGATACTACAATCGGGACAATGTGGCTGCAATTACTCTTGGCATAAGCACAAAAGCTGCTTATGCAGAACCAGCACAATCACCCAATTCAAATGAACTGGTTTGTGACTATGCCGTAACATTTACTCACATAGATTTTTTGTGAAAAAGAAAACTTGCATTAATTAGCAGGTTAAATGATTCTGATATAGTCTTGCAGGTAATTAGCATGGAGTTGGGAAACTTCAGATCCTCTCATCTTCCTCTCACGCCATTCGACACTAGTTTAGACGCTGAAAGCTCGAATCCTGGAAACGGGGTAACGATACTAAAATCACAATTGAGTATTTACCTTCATTATACATTTTCTTTAACTGATCCTTGAAACTTTTTTTCATCAGACTTTCGAAAAGCTGATTTCAGGAATGTATTTAGGAGATATCGTGAGACGGGTCTTGTTGGAGATAGCCCAAAAAACAGACCTATTTGGAAGCAAAGTTCCTCCAAAGTTGAAGACTCCATACTTGCTAAGGTACATAATATAGAACAAATTGTCACCAATTCAAAGATGATATAACTGAATAGCACGCAAGGACCCTTGCATGTATCTGGTGTCTTACACGTGTCAATATCCAACATTTATACGTCCCCGAATTATATAATTTCACATAGAAAATGCATAATTCAAAAAATCTAACAGACATGTTACATAACTAAATTAGGTCTCTAGATATGGCTGCAATGCATCAAGATACATCAGAAGATCGCGAAGTAGTAGCAGAGAAACTCAATGAGGTCTTTGGGGTAAGAGCATTTTTCACCTTTACAATTCAAATAAATGCACAAATGAGAAAACTTATTATGAATATCAACAATACTAATCCAGATCACTAGAACCACCAAAATGGCACGCGAAGTGGTTGCCGAGGTCTGCGACATTGTAAGCGAACGTGGTGCACGATTAGCCGGAGCTGGAATATTGTCCATAATTAAAAAACTTGGGAGAATTGAAAATAAAAAAAGTGTTGTGACAGTTGAAGGTGGACTTTATGAACATTACCGCATTTTCAGAAACTATCTTCATAGTAGTGTTTGGGAAATGCTTGGCAATGATCTTTCAGATAATGTTATCATAGAACATTCTCATGGTGGATCTGGAACTGGTGCTTTGTTTCTTGCTGCAGCTGCTACTCGCACTCACACACAACTTGGAGATTCTTGAAAATTCTGTGTTTTAAATGCTCTTTTACATTTTGATTTTGTTGTTTTGACACATGAAAAATTATATGATGTTTGAGTTTGAAGTTGAAACTATATTTCATCTTTGTCTTAGATTTTTTTTATTTTAGAATGTAGACTCGTTTTCATTCCTGGTAAAAATGTGTCATTTAATTAAGTTATTCCGATAAAATTATACCACAAACAATCCTAAAATTATAGATTTGGGACACATTAATTAGTCATTAACAAAAAGTAAAACATGATTGATGAAAGGATTAATATTTGTGATTTTTCATCGATGTGAATTAACATTTATCTCATGGAGGTTCATAAAGTAACCCTCTAACTTTGTATGTAGTGATTGGATAATGTTGGAATAGGCTTCTTCAATATTTTTGGGCTGCACAATGGGGCAACCACTTCAACTTTGGCAACCTCATAGTCTGCTTGACGCCCCTAAAATATTTTTCTCTCTTCATTTTATTTTTTAAATATAAATAACAAATTTTAAATCTCTTTTTAATTTAATAAAGAAGAACACAGAAAATTATTGAATTTTTAAAACACAAGATTTATCTAAAATAAAAATATAATTATTTTATATATAAAACATTCCTAATTTGTATAATTATTATTCATTTTATAATTAGGTAACTCAATTGAAATTGAATGTGTATTTATATTGTATCAAATTGAATAACACTCAATAATAATGTTCACAACTAACTTTTCATTTTACGGGTCACTACCAGAACATAGGCTTGTTTGTTTTGATTTTTTTTTTAAAAATGATTTTTATATGTAACATAATTTTGTTTAAAAAAGGTTTACAAACAAATATTTTCTAAAAGTTTCAAATGAAAATTTGATATAATTAGCTAATTTAGATATTTTTTATTTTTCAAATGTGAAAATATTTTTTCTAAATTCTTTTTTCATTTCAAATTTACATGAGTATTTAAATATATTTTATATTGTATCCGATTAAAATGGATGTATTGTGAAGTTCGCAAGAAAATTCATAGGTAACATAAGTCATATGGAATTGTTTCTACAATCCGTAACAAATTTTGCAGGAAAAGAATTATGAAAAAATTGCTTAATATCAGATTTTTAAGAAAGTCCAGTGACACCCTTTTATACATTACCATATTTTTGCAAATGCAGTAAAAATGCTTAAAATTTGATAAAGGTTTTTTAAAAATTTGATAAAAATGTATAGTTCAAAATCCGCTTAAACATTCGCAGGTAATGTATTTCTCCAATCCGCAATAAATTCTACCCGTAATAAAATACACATTTAAAAAATTTTCAAAAAGTCGCAGCAATTCAACTTTTTTTATTAAAAAAATATTTTGGTCATATTACCTCACTTATTGGTGTCAGGATCAACTTGGAGGATGCGAGTTTTATTCTTCCAAAAACTCCCAAAGTATATTTAAATTAGATTTCTAATCAGTTAATATAAGGCGCATGTTGTAGTGTACAACAGTGAACTTGGTCTTTTGTTGCGGTGAAAAAGGGGTTGGCCTGTAAGTAGGAATGACAATGAGTAGGATTTGTGCAGGTTATTATAGCACACGTCCTCATACACGCAATTTTAAAAAAATGTGTACTCGTCCATACTCGCTTGGGCACCAACGTTAGCACTCGTACTCGTACCTTATGAGTATATAAGTACTCATACTCGTAACCGTTACTCGCATATCTAATAAAACATAATAGATCAATTACAAAATATCATATCATTTTAAACTTTTAATAACATTAAAGAAGTTTTTAAAAAATTGATATTTTTATGTAATGATAAGAATAACTCAACTGCAACCTGGTTCTCATGGCTTCATCTATCAGAACTTTGAAGTGAACCTCAAATCTCTATCTTAAACAATACTCGAAGGAATACCATGCAAATTAGTAATCTTATTTATATACACCTCAACTAACTTCTGCAACGAATAACTAATCTTTATCGGAATGAAATGAGCCGATTTAGTCAGCCTATCCACCACAACCCAAATCATATCACTTCCATTAGAAGTATTACGAAATCTCGTCACAAAATCCATAGAAATGGTATCCCACTTCCAGTTAGGATTACTGAATGGTTGCGTCAATCACGATGGCTTCTGATGCTCAATCTTTAACTTCTGACAAGTCAAACAAGAATAAACAAACTCAACAACATCCTTCTTCATACTTGGCCACTAAAACTTCTTCTTCAGATCTTGATAAATATTGGTAGCACCGAGATGAATACTTAAACCACTCATATGATCTTCCTCAAGAATTCTTTTCTTATGTTTTGGAAAATCTGGCACATAAACCCTGTCTCAGAATCTCATAACATCATTCTCATCAATTATGAAATCTACCTCTTTACCTTGATTGATGAACACCAACCGGTCAATCAATCCCAAGTCGACTTTCTATCCTCTCTGATTTCTTCAAGAATACCACTAGTCAACTTTAGCATACCCAACTTCACACTGTTAGGAGTCATCTCACACACCAAACTAAGATCTCAAAACTCTTCTATCAAATCGAATTCTCGAACCATAAGCATCGACATATGCAAAGACTTCCTACTAAAAGCATCTTCTACAACATTGGCTTTACCAGGGTGGTAACTCAAACCAAAATCATAATCCTTCCGAAATTCAAGCCATCTCCCATGCCTTATATTCAACTCTTTCTGATCGAACAAATACTTCAAACTCTTATGATTGTTGAACACTTCAAATCTAGAGGCAAACAAATCCAAACTTTAAGCACAAATACCACAAGTGCTAACTCCAAATCATGTGTAAGATAATTCCTCTCATGAACCTTTAATTGTCTCAAAGCATAAGCCACATTATGACCATTATACATAGGCACCCCACCTAAACCCGTCTTCGAAGCATCACAATAAACCACAAAGGACACGCTTGGACTCGGAAAAATCAAAATTGGTGTTGACATAAACTTTTTCTTAAGCTCTTGAAAACTCTCTTCACACTGACATCTCACACATACGCTTGACCCTTATGAGTCAACAAAGTAAAAGGCAAAGCTAACTTAGAAAATTCTTTTATTGTGGTAACCAACCAAATCCAGACAAGTTATGATCTCAGTAATAAACTTCAGAGTGCCCCACTACAATACCACCACTAGAAGTTATATGACCTAGAAAATTCACTTTATGCAACCAGAACACACACTTGGACAACTTCGCATTATGTCGTGTTACTTATTTTTCGTATTATTATGTCGTGTTATGTTTGTGTTTCAGGTATTTTCCGAATAAGAGCGTCCGTGTGAGAAAATCAGAAAAATGACCAAAAGAGCAGCAAAAAGAGAAAATTCTGCTAATTTACTGATATGGCGTTTGCCGTGAGCAAATGGTGTTCGCCATTGCCCTTGCCAGCCACGTCATTTAAGTATCAAGGAAATGACCTAACGACGTTCTCCATTATGCTGTAGATAGCAGTTTTGCGAAAGTGGGCAGTTTCCAGCAGTTTTTCAACTGCTTTTCCTTCCAACTTCCCTGCACGTTTTTGGGGAGTTATCAGGCACTTGGGACCTCTATACATAGGATTTCTATTGACATTTTTAGGTGACCAAGTTATGCGGAAGCGCTGTCATTTTTGAAAATCCCAAGGAGATTGATAATGAAGTTAAGGAGAGTTGTAGTAAGAAAAGAGTAAAGATTGAAGAAAATTCACCAACACCATCCGAAAGGGAGGTTGTCGAAGAGGTAGAGAAGGAAGCACCCATTTTTGTTCCTTCTCCCTATACCCCACATATTCCTTTCCCGTAAAGGTTTGTGGAAGCTAAGATAGACTCTCAATCCAAAACCCATGTGAAGGTATTGGAAAATATCCACACCAACACATTTTTGTCTGAGGTCCTGCATAAAAAGACAAAGTTATAGGACCATGAAACTAGGGATATCATTATTGTTAAGAGAGTAATGTTAACCTTTGAGGTGGTGGATGAAATAACTAAGCCCAAACTTAAAAAGCTGATACTCAAGATAGATCCAGAACCACCACCGCAAGTTCAAAAGAATGAACCACCCCACAGAAGGAAAAAAAGAAAAGTTGAGGGATATGAGAGATGGCTTGATAAGTGACAATGGAAATCGAGGATTACCAAAAGTTCGATTGAGGATTTATTCTCGAGAGGACCACCATGAGTGCTTGCACTCCTTAGCCATTGAGCTATCGACGTTAAACAAAGCGATGCATGGGAGGCAACCCACGAGTTTTTTATTTTTAAGTTTCTTTGTTTGCTTGTTTGAATATGCAGAAAATAAGGAAATGCATCGCTTGTCACATCTCAGCTACATCTAGGAAAAAATTCTCTAGATGACAATCCTGGAGATGACCTGGTGTCCACGGACATTCTTATGAATGTCGCTGCTGGTGGTGACACCGATGATGAGTATGATAGGACATAGCATGTCTATCCTGTCTGTAACTCACCTCTTCCTCGTTCTTCGCATGGTCAGGTTCCACCTTCACACACCGTATCATATTTTTCTAACACTTTTGTAGGTACTTCCTCCGGAAGTGAACAATATGATGAGCTGCTTCAGAAAAGAGCAGTTTCACCAAATTCAGATACCTTGTAGTACAATACGCCAGAGTAGAAGTGATCAGTGAAGACAGGGACAACAAGAGCAGGATCGTAGAGGATTTGGCATGCAGTAGCATTCATACAGGTTCTATCTTTCCTTTTTCTACCTTTTATCAAAATATTGAGGATAATTTTTGGTTTAAGTGTAGGGGAGGAACTTTACCGCTTTCATTTTATCGCTTTTTAGTTTGATTTAATGTTTTATAGTTTATTTCATATTTATAGGAATTTATCTATTTTTAATGTTTTTTCGAGTCATTGCATGTGTTGTCGAGTCTTTATGTGTGGTTTTCACTTGTTATTCAATTTCCCCGAAATTTTAAAAATTTAAAACTTTAACCTCCAACAAAAAAAATCTTTGATTCATGGCACGTCACT